ATGCTTTGGTCTGTACCTGTAATTAGACTATAATGAATGAATAAATAAAAAAAATAAATAAATAATGTAACCCAATATATTGGCCAAATCAATATATTTTTGTTCAGGGCGGCAAAGTGACCATCAGCTGAAAATGAAAATTCAAAAACAAAATACTTTCGCTTCTGGCTAATTGGACGTGTTGAGTAATCATTGAAGATTTTTTACGTAACTAACTAGTTGCATGGTTTTTTTTTTTTGTTCAGACGTGCAGCCATTTTACTGAAAATGTGTCTTTCGAAATACGTAAGAATGGGACCTATAAAAGATCTATGAAAGGAATTTTTTAAGATATATTAATGTTTTTTTAACCGACTTCCAAAAAAGGAGGAGGTTATCAGTTCTTCGGAATATTTTTTTCTTTTGGNCGTAACTAACTAGTTGCATGGTTTTTTTTTTTTGTTCAGACGTGCAGCCATTTTACTGAAAATGTGTCTTTCGAAATACGTAAGAATGGGACCTATAAAAGATCTATGAAAGGAATTTTTTAAGATATATTAATGTTTTTTTAACCGACTTCCAAAAAAGGAGGAGGTTATCAGTTCTTCGGAATATTTTTTTCTTTTGGTTAATGTATGTTACCGCATAACTTTGGACCACGTCAACCGATTTCGATAATTCGTTTTGCATCGGAAAGGTAGTGTCTCAGAGGTGTCCCATACTAATCTGGTTAAGATCCGATCAGGGGATCATGAGAGATATATGTATATATTTTTTTTTATATGAGAGTTGAAGTCGTTTTTTTTTTTTTTTTTGCCAAAAGTTACTTGTTTTACATTTTGTTTTTCCGAGCATTGGTACTACAGGCTTTGGCAAGCTTGGTTAGGGAGTGATACTCAGTTGAACAACGCGTAAAAGTGATTCAAAAGTTGATGCCGATTTTTTAAAAATTTTCACCTAAACAGATACGTTAATAAAAAAAAAAAAACTTTATACTCTGCAGGAAAAAATATGCAGCCACACTGCCACTCTGTTTTGTGTGGCTTTTGGGCTGGCAGAATCATCGGACTGTACTTGATCAAAATTAAACAAACATATTTTGCCACTTTCTGGACAATTGCAAGTCAATGAACTACTTCGAAATAATAAACGACGGCGTTAAAACCTCAATATGTAAGCTATCTACCAAAGCAAGCAAAATATTGGCGATGAAAAGGGAGAACGATTTTTCAAAGGCGGAAAAACTATGGCAGATAGGTACCAAGTCATATGGGCTCGTCGAAGTTTTTGATGCAAATTTGAGTTTTTCTGTACAAGCCAAAATCTAAAAAATTACATGTATGAAATAAATTTTGTTTCTATTTACATATATAATCAAAAATAGGGTGCTAATTCAAAAAAGAAGCATATATCCTCGGCACCAAAATCACTGTTCACCAGTGTTAGGCGTGTAAATATTATCGTTTTCAAACAAACTAAATTCTACTTCAATTTGGTCAACCCAAACAAATCCATTTCCTATTATAAAAACAAAAACGTTTAACTTATTTGTTCCACATACATATCCATTTACTTATATTTCTACTAATGTTTATTGCTGTCAAGTATTACAAAAAAATGTATCAGTTTGTTGTCTGATTGGCTTGTTTGTTTGTATTTGAATGCAACTACATATGTCTCTAAAGTATATCTAACAACTAATATCACAATTATTTAATTGATTTCGTGAATGCCAATGAAGTTAAAGTTGTGCGTCGCCAGCAAAACTGGATAATTCTAATAATGCCTTAAATTGTTTGCTTTGTTTGCTGCAAGTGCGTTAATGTGTTGTATGTACACTAAACGCATTGAAGAGCAACAACAACGCTGTTTACTGCTTATCTAATATTTCGAAGTCGCACACCAATGAGAAGTGATCTGATGGATACTGGAAGCTAGGCGTTCGATTTTTGCCAACTTCATCATCCCTGGGGAATTCCAGACAATTACGAATCTGTAAAATATAAAATAATTACATACACACATAAATAAGTAATTGGCTTGGGGCCATAATAATCTTAACTATTTACCTTGAACTGCTCTGGCGTGTAGAATACATAATCGATGGTGTGACACTCTTCGCCATCTTCGCGTATTTTCCACGTGGTATAAGGTGGCTCTCGCTGTATTGATTTCATTACGCTGTCATCGCAAATAAGCTCCACTTCTTCCTCGACCGCCTCCTCTTCCTGCTCAACCATCTCAGGCGCCTCAGAAACTAACTCTGCATCAGCTTTCACTTCATTAGCGCTATCGTTATTGCATTCATCGCGCTCGGCTTTGACATCCGCATAGGCGCTGGCCAATTTTAGCAGCTCACCACTCAGCACTGTGGCATATACTGGCTCTGTGGGTTCGGCATTGAAGTCGCCACAAATCAATACTGGACGTTGCGAGGCGAATTGTTTGACAAAACGCAACAGATCGCGGCCTTGCTCATTGCGCAATTTCGATAGCAAAGAACCATGACGCGCCTTCAGATGAGTGGTGCACACGCAGAACTCCTTGCCGGTAGCCTTAACAGCCAGGTTAACTATAATGGCCACTTGATTGCTTTGCACGCGCCACA